TAAGATGTAATATTCAGTTCATACGGGTGGGGTATATGGGAACTCTGTACTATTTTTGCAATTTTGATAATTGTAATATTATTTCAAAATAAAAAGTTGAGAGAGAGAGAGGAGGAGAGGGAGGGAGGGGCACCCTTTTAAAAATCTTGTTTGAGTGGAATCCCTCCTCCCCCGACCCCTCCTGGGTCTGACACTCAGCCCTTAGTGGGCAGGTGGCTCTGAAGTTGGACAGCAATCTCAGGTCTGGGGGTGGGGCTGGGGACCTCACAGACAGAGGCCCAGAGCCTGTTAGCTCCAGCAACCTGCACTCATGCCCACTCAGCCGAGGTGATCATTAGAGCCCCTCCTTCCCACACAGACATAAGTGTGGTGGGAAAGCATGAAAGGGCATCAGGATGTCACAGGTCCTCCTGGCAGTGGAAGGAGAAAAACCAAGGAGCCAGAATAGTGGGAGATCAAAAGGGGGACTTTGGAGGACTTGCTTTTCAGTTTCAAAACTGCCAAATTTTGTTAAACATTTACTTTGTGAAAAGAAAGCCTGCTGGCAATTGTCAGTAAGAGGGAAGGAGTGGTGAGGGGGTAGGGGAAGTCTTGAGAAGGGAAGGGGGGAGAAAAAGAGAGGGAGAGGGAGAGAGAAGAAAAAGAAGGTGAAGGAAGAAGAGGAGAAGGGGGGAAAGAAGGGGAGAGGTGAGGAAGGAGAGGAAGGAGAGGAAGAGAGGAAGGAGAGGGAGGAGAGGGAGGAGGGGGAGGAGGGGGAGGAAGGGAGGGACTACAACAAGATTCCTGCCCATGAACAGCTACCAGGTAAGCATGGACTCAGGGTCTCTACCATTTATCCTCTGGGTGACCTTGATCTAATTACTTAATCCTGCTGTGACTCAATTTCTCCATTTATAAAATGGGGGTAGAAATTATGGCCTACCTTGTGGGACTGTTCAAGGGTTAAATGAATTAGCACAGGTAAGCATTTAGAACAGTGCCTTGTACGTTAAAAGTGGTAGGGATGGCCCTGGCCGCTTTGGCTCAGTAGTTAGAGCGTCAGCCTGCAGACTGAAGGCTCCCGGGGTTGATTCTGGCCAAGGGCAGGTACCTCGGCCGCAGGCTCGATCCTTGGCCCCGGTTGGGGCGCATGCGGGAGGCAACCAATCGATATATGTCTCTCACATCGATGTTTCTCTCTCTCTCCCTCCACTTTCTCTGCAAAGCAATGGAAAAATATCCTCAGATGAGGATAAAAAAATAAAATAAAATAAAAATGAAAATAACTTGTCATTAAAAAAAATGGTAAGGATTAGTTATTATTAGGCTAAACCTTATGAAATTGCCCATATTTGACCTATAAAAACAGTCTCAAGCTAACATCATCATCATTCCGACACCAGCGAGGGCTGAGGACCACAGTGGCCGGGCCTCCTCCAGCGTCAGAGCACTGACCCAGCTCTGTCTGAAGCTCTCCTTTCAAGCAGCTCACGGCCCAGAAGACGAGACCATCCTGCCCCTCCAGCACCCATGCACAGACATGCCTCAGGTTCTGAGCTCCAGGTCTTGGGAAAGAAGCCTGTCAATGTGATCCTCCCTGTTGACAGGTTTTGGTCCCCTCTCCCAGGCATCTTTGGCCAGGGAGAACTAAGTACCCGACCTGGGGGCTCTCACCATAGCTGGGATACTGCCCTTTGCCCCTGCACCCTCTGGCACTTCCTCTCCAGCCCCATTTGTTCACCCAAGATTAGCCAAGCAAGGTTTACTCAGGTAAGTTAAAAGGCACTCAGACATGGGTTCTAAACTGTCTCACTTCACTGCTGCTAGACTCAGGAGTATACTGCAGGGAGCAGTAATCCTGACAGTAAGCTCACTGTTCGGAGGGCTATATGTACAGTTCACCATTCTAACCACTCACACGTATTAATTTCATCATAGCCCTAGAAGGCAGGTACTCTCATCCCTATTTTACAGATAAGAAAACAGGCATGAGCATCAATTTACTTAAGGTTGCACACCCAGAAAAGCGGCAGAGCTAGGATTTAACTCAAGCAGACCAGCTTCAGAGACTGTGGCTAAGTACTGTTCTATTCTGTAGTCCCCAACTTCAGGAGGAGGGCCACTGCTTCCCTCCACTGGCTCCCCTCACAGCCGGCTCTCCTCCCTGCTCTTTAAGGATGATCAAGGGCTGGCCTGCTGAAACCACCACAACTCAAACTTTTACCTCCGCAGCGACGTCATCTGGCTTTCCTTAGTCACTGCAGCTTTTAGCCCTAAAATGTCTCTCCTACACTGGGCCCGTTTGGCTCTCTGGGATACCTTATTCTTCAGAGCTTCCTGTGCAGTGATTTAAGCATGGCGGCCCCTTTCTCTGCAGAGGTCATGGGCCAGTGTCTCACCATCTGACACAATGCTCCTGCGCCCTGCGCCACACGTGACACCTGTGTCATCCTAACAGCCAGACCCACGGTTTTTCTTTTCTTTTATTCGCAGAATTACAGAACTGCGGGGCTGGGAGGAACTGTGCAGGGTATCCATTTCATTGCCTGTTCTATTTTGCCTGGGACTCCTCTCAGAGAAAGACTGTATGTTAACACAGCAGCAGACAAAAGCTCCATTGTTATTCTGAGGGTTGTTGCAGAAAGACCTCAAATCCATCAGATAATCGAGCAGGCTACCCGGGAAAGAATATCTCTATGTCCAACACAGTTTCAAAGTCACAGACTATTATCTTGTGCTCTGTCGATACTGAGTTGCTAAAAGCCATTCCAGGAATCCCCTCTGCTTCCCCGAGCTAATCTGGGAAGCACTTTTATCACCTGTGACAAGGCCCCCTGAGCCTGGCTCATGATAACTAAATTAGATCCCACGCTCCCCATATCCTGCGCCACTTCAACCACATTATCAGAATTGATAGCTCACCCCAGCACATGGCCACTGCAGGCCCTTGTGCTCATTTGTTCTGGGACATCACATATGCTGCTTGTTGGCAGGAGCCGTGGCTCTTTATCAGCTGCCTGCAGCCTTGGCACCGCAGCCAGCATCTACTCACAGAAGCCCGCTATTTCCTTTTTCTTCTGAAGCCCTTGCCTGGGCAAGTCGGTCCTGTCTTTCCAACCATCTGCTGAACAGGTTTCTGCTCTTTAGCCACCTAACACCAGTTACAGAGTGGTCCTGCTCAGGAGCGCATGGAAATGCTGCTGCTCCTGACAACTTAACACCTATGTACTATTAGTAGCTAGACCTTAGAAAAGCACTCAGCCTTCTCTTGCTTTCTTCCCCCTGCTTTTGAAAGAAATAGATGCCCATTTGGAAAAAACAACCTTCAGTTCAGAAATGTACAAAGAAGAAAAGCAAAAGCCCACTACTGTCCCCAGAGATAATGACCATGAACAACTTCCAGGCCTTTCTCTGCAGACTAGAGAGCCTGGCGATCCTCTCCTCAGCCCCTACTTCCCTGTTCCCAAGCCTCCTGGGGCAGGCAGCTGGCATTCCACCACCTAACATCTGCCCTTCATCTTCACCAAGGCTTCCAGGAGACTGCACTCTCTGGCCATCTCCTCTGCCTCCTTTGCTCCACCCACCCCTTCTCCTTCGCCTCTTCGCCTCTTCCTGCAGGAGTGCCTCTTCCTGCAGGAGCGCCTCTTCCTGCAGGAGCGCCTCTTCCTGCAGGAGCGTGCTAGGGCTCAGGCTTGGTCCTCGCCTCTCCTCTGTCCCCACTCACTTCCTTAGGGCTCTCATCCACTATCCTGGCTTTAAGGACTATCTAGCCAGAGGCTCCTAAACATACATGTCCAGTCCAGACCTCTCTTTTGACTCAAGACTCGTGGATTGATCTGTCTGTCCTACGTCTCCATTTGGATGTCTAATGGTAGTTAAAATTCAACATGCCCCAAACTGGACTCCAGATCTTCCTCCATAAACCTGTTCTCTGCAGCCTTCTCATAAACTGTGAAGTGATACTGACTCATCCCTTTCTGTTAAACTTTACACCCAATTTATCAGGAATTCCTGCTGGCTCTATTTATGAAATATATCCAAGATCTAGCCACTTATCACACGTCCACTGCCACCATCCAGGTCCACACCATCCTCATGTCTCACCTGGAGACTACCGTAGCCTCCTGGGTGGTCTCCTGCTTCCACCCTTGCCCATGCCCACAGTCACATAGAAGCCAGAGTGATCCTTTGAGTGATCGTGTCCCTCCTCTGCTCAAGGCACTCTTGTGGCTCCCCTTCCACCCAGAGAAAAAGCCAAAGTCCTTTCAGTGTCTACAAAGTCCTCTGTGATCTGGGTCCCTTGTAAGTTCTCTGGCCCCACCTCTTCCAATTCTTCCCCTGGATCACTCTGCTCCAGGCCACACTGGCCCTCATCATAATTCCTTCAATAGCAGGCACGCCGCTGCTTTAAGGGCTTTGCACTGGCTGATCCCTCTGCCTGGACACTCTTCCCCAGATGACCATATGGCTGGCTCCTTCACCTTCCCCAAGCCTTTGTTCAAATGTCACCTTCTCAGTGACCCTATCTTGACTACTTCATTTGAAATTGCAACCTACCCCTTCCCTACCACCTAATAATCCCTTTCTCCTGCTCTACATTAGAAAAAAATTTTCTTTTCACCCTCTAACATTCTTTTTCTAATTTATTGTGCTTTTGTTTATTGTAAGTCTCTCCCCAACTAATATGTAAGCTCCAAGAGAACAGAGATATCTCTCTGTTTTACTTTCCAATATATCTTATGCCTTCAACAGTGCCTAGCATGTGGCAGGCATTGAACAAATGCTTGTCAGTGAATGAATGAGACATCTCTTAGGCCTGCCTAGCAGGCCCAGAGTAGCTTTTCTGGCACTAAGATCCCAGGCTCCTGTGACTGCCTGTCAACTGGGAGAGGCAACATCTTCTCAGTACCCCTTCCCCTTCCCTCTTCCCAGCCAGGTACCTGCTGTCTGGTCAGCCCCACTAATAAGATAGCTCCCATTCTGATGCCCATCCCAGCCAGGCTGAGCTCCTGTCCACTCACCTGGAAGTCCTCCTCATCCAAGATTTCTTTTCTCCACTTGATCAAAAAAGCTGCACACACATAGAGGTGGAAGTGGGAGAACCCTTCTGGTTCAGACTGGGAAGGCAAAGAACAGAGTTAGTTCTCCAGGCCCTGACTGGGAGTTGGCATTAGTCCTCTCAGGCCCAGTCCATCTGCAAGGTGGGAATGCAGCACAGCACCCCTTTGGTGGCTGGGCAAACAGAGGCCTGAAAAGATTGAGCTAAGGACCTGCCCATAAAGCTAAGGCAGACAGAAGTAGAAAGGGGGTGGGGGAACTTCTGAGCAGCTACACTCCACACCAGGACTGGGAGGGGGTATCTCAGAGACAGTCTGGAGTGGAGAGGGCAGGGGATCTGTTCATACCTGGTATGTGTCCCACAGGCGAATGGTGCAGCGAAGGGGAAGCTCCCGCATAAGCAGGTTGTTCATCCAACGAAAGGCAAACTGTAGGTATTCCACCTCGTACCTCCTGAAGTGATTATGTACCTGCTCTGAAACAGAACGCATCATTGGCCCTGGGAGCACAGGCTCAGGGATCAGGCCCCGAAAAGTCCATGAGCCAAAAAGGCCGTTTCCATTTCTTTTCACCCCCTTCCCCAGGAAGCCAGACAGAGGGGCCACACTGGCATCTGACTGTCCTTATGTTTGGTTCCACCGTCTCATAGTGGCATCACACAGGTAACTCAGACACACACAGAACTACTTTTACATCCCACAGTGATGGTCTAGGTGCCTTTCTTCCTTTGCAGGGCTGCTCTAGCCACGGAACAGGAGACATAAGGTTCACTTGGCTACTTGGCCTTATTACTCATCAGAGGAGCCAGAATGGAAACGAACTGGGGTCACCTTGGCCCCCTCCCACCAGTGAGGATTTCCTCCTCAACCTCCCTGACAGATGGCAGCCAGCAGGGCTTAGGCCTGCCGGGGAGAGAGGCTCACTGACTCCACTCAAGGGCAGCCCCTCCACTGAAGTGTTTAGTGATTCACCAGGAAGTGCTGTACCACATTCAACAGAAACGCTCCCCAACTCCCACTCCCTGGTGACTGCGTGCTGTCCTGGATGACCCCAAATCAAACCCGATCCCTGTTCTACACAACAGCTCTTCAAATAATACTTAACAGGATTTTTTACATCACTATCCTCCTCAGTTTCCTAACCTATAAAATGGGAACAATCACTCATACCTCGGAAAGGTTTGGGAGGGTAAAATGAGAAAATAAAAGGCTTATAGCAGCACCTGGCGTATGGTAAACACTTAATACAACTTCTGAAAGAATAACTATTAACAGTGGTTATTTCTGGTGGGTACAATTTAAGGAAGAAAGAAGATTTCCACTTTTTACTTTTTCTGAAAAGTTTAAATTTTTGTAATATTACTTCTGTACTTCAAAGGATAAAGATACATATACTTAAAAACCCACTATTCTGATGTACTATGCCTTTATTTACCAGGTCTGTGTGAGGACAGAAAGACAGGCTGGGGAGACAGTGGCAGAAACTGAGGCCTCTGTCCTGGCAGCTGGCTCAGTGCCCTGCCCTGCAGCGCGTCCTGCACCAGAATCCAGGTGAGGGTCCAAGAGACGAACACGTGGGCCCTGCCATGAGGCTAACAGCGGGGTCAAGGGTGCTAAGGGGGAAAGCACCCACACATGATGTAGAAGAAACTACTGTAAATAAGCAAATGAGCAGGGGAGATTGAAATCCTGTCATAAAAGGAAGCTGAAGTGAGTAGAACAAATCAGGGGAGGTTTTCATGAAAAGAGAGAACCTGGGAAGGACAGAGAAAGATACACAGTATCTGTGTGTGGGGAAGGGCAGTGCTTAGCTAAAGCAGAAACTCCATGGCTGGGAAAAACCTGGAAATGAGATCTGTAGCTGGTGCAGTAACTGGTCATGTCCTAAAGAAGCTTCATACTTGATGGCGCTGCAGATCCCACCTAGCTGGCCTCGCTATTAGGTCCTATGTGTTCTTCATGAACCCTAACTCTGACCTCTCCCTGGGCAGCAGTTTCATCATCAGTTATAACAAGGCTTCCCGAGGTGCCTTTTAGTTCTCACATTCCATGATTCCGAGCCAGAGCCAACGAATTACGGTAAGGCTCCTGTTCCTTGAAGACAGTCTGCTTCAGGAAGTCACCCAAACAGGTCATGGGAGCTATGGGAAGTCCTGCTGAGGTAGAGACAGACCTGAGGAACCTGCATCAAGCCCAGGAGTCCTGAGTTCCATCACCACTTGAAGGACGAGGTCAGCCTACAAAGCTGATGCTAAAAGCAACGGAGAGCCCCAGAGGTTTCAGAGAAGAGGGATGTGTCCAGAACAATGCTTAAGAAAGATGTAGTTGTGTGACAGAAGGTTCAGGAGAAGAAAGGTTTGCAGGAGGCATGGCTGGTCCAGAGCAGTGGCTAGGAAAATGGGGAAGAAAGGGTGAAATGAGGAGAGATGCTGAAGGAGAACTGATAGAACTTGGTGACAGAAAACTAAGAGAAATAAGAATTTGAGGTAATAGCAGAGTTCTCACCTCACCTTCCTATTGAGATTCAGAAGGATGCACAGAATACATCAGAAAGGGCCGTGGCTGGGAAGTGGGCTGAGAAGGGGACCCGTTGCATAGCTTGCTTGTGTCAGAATCGTACTGTGCTATTGCTAGAGGACTCCTGGCCCTCTGAACCTACCATCAATCCGGCTGACAAGCTCTTCCAGGGCCTTGACCTTCTTCTGGATCCCTGGTTGTGCAAAGGTGTAGTTATCCTGCCAATGACACAGAACCCAGGATAAACAGGGACTCAGTTGTGCTACCACCCTTTGAGTTCGCAGAAACATGTTTAAAAGCACAGGCTGTTTTTCCAAAGCTGGTGCCAGTGTTTGGGGGGAAAAAGGAAGCTACAGAGCAGCAGTGTGCGGGAGAGCCTGACAGAGCCCTGCTCTGCAGAAGCAAAGCATGGCCTGAGTGCACAGCAGACGGGAGGGGCATGCTCTGATGACAAAGCCAAGGCAGTATGGAGACTTCCTGAGACTGCAGGAGATGCTAGACCATTGCCTGTTGAGAGCTGTAAAGCTAATGAAAGAGGCAGAGATGGATGGACCAAAAAGAGGAGCCGCCATGCTGGGAGGGGGCTGCCTGATGCAGGAGAGCAGTAAGGAGCCCAAAGGCCCGCAGGAACCCCCAGACCTGGGCGTCCAAGGGCAGAATCAGCTCACCTGGATGCCGTCCAGCAGCTTGCTCATGCACCAGAAGCTGTCAGCTTCAATGCTGCGCAGCACGTCCTGACACAAATTGGTCACGTCAAAGTTCTCCACATCCTCTTCTGTAAAACAAAAGGTGAAGAGAGTCCAGAGGCCTTCTCTAAAAAATGGAGAGAGAAAGACAGAGTCTAGTATCTTCAACAGGGCCTGTGGGCCAGGGGAGAGCCAGGGGAGAGCCAGGGAACCTGAAGCCAAGGAACGGGGCCTGCCCTGGTCCCCTTGTCAGGTGGGTAAACGCATTCTAGTAGAGTTCCTGAGGACCGCATCACAAAACTGAGCAGGCCATTTCTCACACCAAGTCCCCTGGGTCCAAAATATCTTTCTCTTCCCCTGCATTTGTTCATTCAGTTTTAGAAAAAGATACTTCAGGCCTCATGTTCAATGAGCTATATACCCAGCCCCCTGGACATGGTCTAGAAAAATGATTTTATTTCAGAATTCAGTGAGCTGTCTGGCTCACTCACTGGTGGTGAGAGCAGCTGGGATCAGATAGACCCATAGTTCATTTTTAAAGATGGACTCCCCAAATTCTGACCAAGTGGGCCCTCAGCCTCACCACTCAGAGTGAAGGTGTGTGTGTGAAGGAAGACAGCCCAAACCTGTGGTAGCTGCTAGGATTTCATTTCACTGAGTTGGAAGTTCCTAAGATGGGCTGTGTATAACATCAATCCCATAAGGCTCAAGGAAACAGGGGTCTACAGACAAACGAGGCTGAGAAATGTTGCATTACATACCTCACCTTGGAGATTCCCAAAGATCACAGCCAACAAAGAGATTTGAGAAGTTATAAGAAATTCTTGGTTGAGTGAATCTGCTTAACCTTGCTTATCCAGCACCACCCAAAACTCCTTTGGCCATGGGACCTTTTTTAAAGAAGACCATCTATTAGCTCTCATGGAAGCCGCACACTAAGCAATAGGAGTGAGAAGTTGTGTGTCTGGTCTGAGATCCAGGCGGGAGAACATAAGGAGTCCTCTAGAATCCAAAGAAGGAGAGGCCATGTGATGCTTCCTTCCTGCCACAGAAAGGTGGAAGTACTAAGAGAGGCTCTCCTTGCCTGACAAGAGGCCACCCCAACCCACAGGCCCCTGCATGCCTGTCAGAGGCCACACGTGGAAACGTTTGGGCCCTTGGGTTTTGCACCAAAGATGGCTTCTCTCCTCAGACCTACAGCCCTTTTTGAAAACAGGACGTTCCCTGCAGTCCCTGGTGCTACAGAAACACAGGCATCTGACAAAATGCATTCAGAACCCACGCCTTTTGTTCATGAGAATTACTACCCAGACTGACGACTGAACTTCCCTGAGAAAACAGGTAACAACTCTCACATTCTACTCCTATATAAACAGCACTTTTTTTTTTAATCCTCACCGGAGGATATTTTTTCCATTGATTTTTAGAGGGAGAGAGAGAGGGAGAGAGAGAGAGAGAGAAACATCGATGTGAGAGAGTTTGCCTCTTTCAATTGACATTGATTGATCTCAATCAATTGACACTGATTGGTTGCCTTCTGAATGTGCCCAGACCAGGATGTCGATCAAACCTGCAACCCAGGTAGGTATATGCCCTTGACCAGGAATCAAACCCACAACCCTTTGGTGTGTGGGCTGACACTCTAACCACTGAGACATGCTGCCAGGGCTAAAGAGCATTTTTAAATGGACATCAAGGGCTGTAAAAACCCTTTGGGGAGGGAGAAATGTTTTATCAGAAAAGCTATGACCCTGGAAACAACCTAGAAGTCCAACTTGAAGTACAGACACATGTAAATATATGTTAATATATGTAAAATGTTAACCACAGGGCTTCGCACACAGTAGGCACAGTGTAGCTTTAGATGTAGCTTATTAGGAATTTGTAATAACATGGGAAGTATGTCACTGTGTTAGGGAAAAAAGCAAGGTACACAATTATTTATGGTATACTCTCAACTACTTACTATACATACAATATTTACATGTGCTGACATAGCACAGTAGAAAGAAAAAATATATTACAAGGTGTACAGGGCTCATTCCCCAGGTGGGAGGGATAAAGGATTTTTATTTTCTTTAAGCTTTATTAGACTTTTCAAAATTTCTACAATAAGCATAATTTTTATAGCCAGGAAAAAATGTACATTATTTTAGGAAAAAAGAGTTACAATTGACTACATCTGCCTTTTATTACCAAAAAAAGAATAAAGAAGATTTTCTAAAACAACACAAAGCTTGCAGAAACTAAGACTTCAGATAGTATATAAAGGTCCATCTGAGAAATCACATTGAGAAAAAAGAAATCCTTCTAAGAAATATTTCTTTTTTCGCTAACTTAAACACTTACTATGTAGTGTTTTTTGGGGGTGGTCATATATATACTATTAATTTAGTTAAATAATCCTGGGCTTTACGACCCAGCTCAGAACCTCCTTTCCTTTTTGCTTTGTGTTACATCTCTAAGGCTGTACAAACCTCTAGTTCACTGCCCCCGCGTACTTCCCCTACTTTACGTGTCCGTTCCCCAGGGATAGGCATCCAGGGGCCTCCAACTCCCACTACACAAACACGCCCCGAGAAACTGTCCCCTTCCACTAGGGTAAGAACTGCTCTGGGCCACAGGTGCTGCCCGACCACTGCCCAGGACCAGGCTCACAGCAGTGCAGGAGGAAAGCGCCATTTCCGTTTAGTGAGGCAGCTGCTCCCGTTAACCATCCTAGACACTCCCTGTCTATGAGAACGAGCTGTAAGAAAAAAGTGAAACCCACGAGGAAGGTGCAGAGCAAAACCACTCCCACTATTCATACGCATGCCCAAAGGAAGCCCCAGAGCTCCATAATCATTTGAAGGGCCTTTTCCCCCATGGGCATTCTACCACTCCAGAACACTGCAGTGGCAATGCCACTGGGAATGGAAACTACACAGAGCAGAGTAATAAGGAAGAAAGGCCTGAGTCCCCGAGAACAGTGGGGCCACAGCTGCCATATCAGCCCTGGTGACCTGTGTCTTTTGTCAGACAGAACAGCATGTGATTAAGAGTACACATTCTGGAGGCAGGCTGCATAGCTCAAACCCTGACTCTCACTCACTAGCTATGTGGCTTTGGGCAAATGACTTTAACTTCTGAGCCTCAATTCCTCATCTGTTAAGGTGGTCATTTCCTACCCGTGTCATAGGATGTTAGAAGAATTAAATAAGTTAATATATAAAAATGCTAACAGTGCCTGGCACAAAATAAGCATTATGCAAATGTTAGCCTGTATTGTTGTGGAATAACAACAATAAATAAACTCCTATCTGGTTTCAGTCTCAGTTTTTTAAAATTTATTGGGGTGACATTGGTTAATAAAATTATATAGGTTTCAAGCGTACAAGTCTCTGATACATCATCTGTATATTGCATGGCGTGCCCAATACCCAAAGTCAAATCTTCCATCACCAGGTATTTATCCCCTTACTGCCCCCATTCCCTTTCTCTCTGGTAACCACCACACTGCTGTCTGTGTCTGTGAGCTTTTGTTTGTCCATTTGTTGCGTTCAGAGCCTCAGTTATTTTGGGTCCCTATTTGTCACAGCCAAACTTAACGTAATTCCAAAATGTACTTTAAAAATAGGTGAACTTTCCAAGTTTCCATTTCCACTATTTGGTCTTAAAGAGAAGCTCTAGCAACAGGAGTCTTACGTTGGTAAGATGCCACTCTCAGCAACGGTTTCAATTCCAAATGTCTAGCTGCTTGTCCAGGGAGCAAAGGGACCAACAGACAAGACACTGAGCCCTCTTAGGGGGTGCCAATTTGGGGCCGTTCTGCCTATGTTCTGCCTTTAGCCCTATGTCTTCGCAGACAGTGGGACAGCTCACCAGCACTTCGAGAGCGGGAGGAGTTCAGTTCTAGTGCTCTGCCTGCTGGGGGGATAAAACTCACGCAGTCAGTCCACCACTGTGAGCTGAGTGCACTGGCAAAAAGCAGCAGAGACAGGGAGGCCCGAATGCTCTCTGAAGGGCCTCATTCAGCATAAACAGTCTGTTCAGAAGGATCATTAAATGTCCCACTTGAGAAAATTCAACATCTAATTGAGCTGGAACGGGAAACCATGCCAGCAACACAGTCTCGAATGCGGACAGCATCTTCAGTTGTCATAGACATGCAGCAGGCAGGACTCAGACTGGAGGGAATGAGATTTAAGGGATATTTTATGGCTATTTCAGGAGGTGAAACATCTAAAAAGAGGAAACCCAAAGCTCCTTATAAAAATCAAATTGCCCACTCTGGGCTTGACAAAAACATGCCCATTTATTAGCTGATAAGATGTACTTGAGTCGTGGCTCCTGTCAAATGTTTATTTTTCTGAGAACTCCAAGGCTTGGGCCTAAAATCAGCCCTCACGTATGCCTTAAGAACTCTTGATAGCTTTGGTGAAAAGGCTGGTTTTGCTTAAACTGACAAGAGGAACTTGGGCACTCACTGCTCTAGGCGATCCCAGGAACCATCTGTGACTGCAGGACAACTCCTAACTACTGTGACTTGCTGGGTCAGAAAGATGCAGCCCGACTGGCAGGTGTGAGAGGATCCAAGGCAGCAGACTGCTGACGGCGGTCTCTTCTTCAAAGCCTCTGGTTTGCCTGATTCCTGTCTTTGTTTTTTTTAAACTAAATTCATAAGAATATCTTACATGTTTTCTGATCACAAAAGTAGACTAACTAAGAAAAGGAAAATATAAATCTTGTCGGCCATACATCTAGAGAACCTCATAAAACAGAAACTTAAAACTTTCATCCAAAAAACAGTTTTAAGAGAAGTATTGCCCTAGCTGGTTTGGCTCAGTGGTTAGAGCGCTGGCCCATGGACCGAAGGGTCCCAGGTTTGATTCCAGCCAAGGGCATGTACCTTGGTTGCAGGCTCAATACCCAGCCTCGGTTGGTGTGTGGGTGGTGGTGGGGCAACCAATCGATGTCTCTCTCTCACATCGATGTTTCTCTCTGTTTCTCTTCCTTCCACGCTCTCTGAAAAGCAATGGAAAAAATATCCTCGGGCGAGGATTAAAAAAAGAAAAAGCATCCAGGAATTAACCCAGTTACCTGTATGCAA